AGGCTGCTGAGGGGAGGACGGCTTATAATAATGGCTGGAACACAGCAAATGGATTGGCATCAAACACCTGGAAACCATGAAAGAAACCATGTGTTTATGATTTTGATACCATTCCATACTTATTCCGCTCCAGCCATTACCATGAGCCCGTCCTCCCCACTTATGGTGCCACCAACCTCCTGTGCTGGAGTTCCTTACCAAGACAACATTGAATGTTCCTGAGTGGCCTAGTTAGAGTTTTGACTTAAATCGGCTTGGAAATCTATGGCAAGACTTGAAAATAGCTGTCTAGCAATGATCAACATCCAACTTGACAGAGCTTAAAGATTTTTTTAAATAATAATGTGCAAATATTTTACAATCCAGGTGTGCAAAGCTCTTAAAGAGACTTACCCAGAAATACTCACAGCTGTAATCGCTGCCAAGGTGATTATAACATGTATTGACTCAGGGGTGTGAGTACTTATGTAAATGAGATATTTCTGTATTTTATTTTCAATACATTTTCAATACAAAAATGTGTCGTTATGGGATATTGTGTGTAGATGGGTGAGAAAAACAATATATTTAATCCATTTTGAATTCAGGCTGTAACTCAACAAAATGTGGAATAAGCCAAGGGGTATGAATACTTTCTGAAGGCACTGTAGGATACCACAGACTTGAAACTGGACCCAGATGACCCCAAAATATACCCTTGATGTCCAGTAGCTACAGTCATCACTCCCACCCCTCACTCCACATCTACGTCTGGCCTTTTCTCTCCACCTCACTGGGTTCCACCGTCAGCCTCTGTTCTGGACAGTGTATAATAGTCTAAGTGGTTCTGGATAGCAGGGGGCAATTTAGTCATTAAGCAGCCAATTAAGTCATTAGAGCAGTGGTTGGTTTGCCGTCTGCCCGCCCTCCCTTCCCCTCCGCCCGCCTGCCGACAGGGCAAGGAGATATCCTGTCTGATATGTGTTGCCAGTTTTCCACATATTTGTACTAGGAGTCGTACAAGGCTTGACGTCGTTCTCTAACTTCACTCGAAAAGAGGATGGAAGTTGTACGTCTACCAGTGTTTCCTTTGGAGTGTTTTTTTCTCAACATTATAACAACATAGTAGCAATGTAGTAGCAGCGTCTTAGTACCAACCATAGATACAATACAGTAGGAGAGACTCTGTGTTTGCACTATACTTTCCTAGTTTCCTCTTCTGTTCTGTGTGTGCAGATACAGGTGTGTACAGTTAAGCAGTGGGACAGATAGAGCCCCAGGACATGGAGAGAAAAAGAGAGAGGGAGACAAAGGGAGGGAGCATGGAGCCAGGAGGAGCCAGGAGGAGCCAGGAGGTTAGGGAGCAGAGCAGAGCAAAGAGCAGAGGAGATGACTTTTTTTTCCATCACTCATCATCAGGCCCTGCGGCCAGAGGAGCGCTCCAGACCCATCCTTATACATCAGCCATGGAATGTAAATATTTGAACATAGACCGGTAAGATACCTAATTCTTCCCCTTAAATATGCATTATTTATATGAGAGCCTTCCAATGAACACAATGAGAAGTGTTCTGTCATGATTTGATATGACACCCGGGAGATGTGTTTTGAACACAGCTCGTCTTCGTCGTGCTCTCCCTGACCCTGTCGACACGAGGGAGATCTTAATTTCTCTGGTCACACAGAGTACCATCTCAGAGTATCATCTTCACCATATACCATTAACGCTTATTAAACCAGAGAAACAAAACACTGTTTGAAATAGACGTCTCTGTCACAGTGCACCACCGGGTACCTTCTTGCCACCATGACTCCCGCTGAGGAGAAACTAGATCTGGACCTGCTAAGATGACAATACAGCTGTGGAGACTTGGGTGTGTGTGTGTGTGTGTGTGTGTGCACGTGTGTGTGTTTATGAAGGTGTGTGTGTGGAGCCAACCAGATGGCCCTCCCTTTCCAGATCACAGTGAAAATAGCCCAGTAACCCAGCCCGTTCTGTTCTGGGGCCCCTGAGCGTTCAGTTCCTCACCCACAGACTGCCGTCTTCTCACGGATTCTACTCACGGCCCACTGCTCCCACAGCACCCACCTCTAACCCTCGCTCAGAGACCGGCGCCACAGCTGTGATGTCATCTCCCCCCGACAAGGGCCTGTGCCTCGGCTGCAATGTGACCCAGAGTAAATAAATATGGGTATTTATACACCAGGCCAGACGCTGAGAGGCAGAGAGAGACACAGGCAGCAGAGGCTCTGGTCTAGATGTAGATATAGACGTAACGCAATGAGCCGAGGGAGTGGGAGGGAGCAGGTTGTGTGGTTGTTGTTGACTCACTCACAAAGGCCGGTGACCAGCTTGCACCCCTCTAGACAGCCTGGCTTTCTGCAGGTTCCCCCTCGGTACAGATAGCGTGCCTTTGGAGAGTGTTTGGTGCTGGCTGGCCCACCCAGCTGTCGGCCTGCATCGCCCTCCATAGCGCTGGAGATTAAACATGCTTCCCCTCTGCCATTGTTTCCACAGCCTCACTGCTGCCTCAATACTGCTGCACACAGAAATCAAAGTGTTATCAGGTCTGTGAGAGCTCCAGAGCTCCGTCTGTAGGGTCCAGCGCCAACCTCTCAGGGCCCAGCATCCCAGCCTCCACACTGGCCTGTCCCCCGTACCACCACCTCCTCCACCGAGCTGCCGCAGGATGCACTACTCACCGTGGGGGGGAACTGTTTATCAGTTACACCTCTCATCCAGACAAATTACTTCTTGTGAGGTTAGGGGACCCAGGGCGATGGCTGACCCAGTGATGCCACTCTGTCCCCATGCTGAGAAGCCGAGGGGCAGGGAGGGGAGAGGAGGCTGAGCAGGGCTAGCCCATGCCCCAGGTCAAGCTACACAGTTCTAGGTCACTGACTGTGCAGGGGCCAGGTGCCTATGAAAAGCTTATGGCAGATGATGAATCACCAGCCTTCATGTTTCGGAGACCCTCTTGGCGATGCGAGAGCAGCAAGTTACAGGATATTGTAAGCGGCTACTTTTATTGGGAAAAAATAATAATGTGGGCCGGCAGGGTTTGGAGCTGTTCCCAAGTCAGATCCCCCACCAGAGAAGAAGTGGAGCTCATGTTTCAGATTAGGGTTCGCACTGACATGATGCACATCACTCTTTCCCTCCTCTCCCTCCCTCGCTTTCACTCGCTCTCTCTAGCTTTTTTCAGTCTATCTGTTAGCCTGACCTCATATTTGTTCCAATCAACCATATAGAGAGATCCAATCAACCATAGTGTTCAAATTATATCTCAAATTATAATAATTGACAATAATTGTTTCCATGTCACTTTCATTTCAGGCTTTGAACTCTTTTCATACATTTGAGGGAGTTGCGATCTCAAAGGTCCAAAAGTCCATTCTGCTACACAGTTTAACTCAAGTTATTCATTATCCAGATTTTATTAAAATAACCTCCAACAATACACCTGCCTCATAAAACGGTATCTTCCTAGGAACAACAGAAAGGCAGGCAGTCCTCCAACACTTTGTATTGGTGATTTACTAAAGTTCTCATTGGATATAAGTAAAAATTGGCTATATGTGCTTTTTGGTCTTCATTTAAGGTTATGGTTAGGCATAACGTTAGCACTGTGGTTAAGGATAGGGTTAAGGTTAAGGTTAGGGTTAAGGTTAGGGTTAGGTTTAAAATCAGATTTTAAGAAGAGAATTGTAGAAATAGGCGGGGTTTATGACGTTTTGGCTGTGGTAACTAGTGACCTCCAAATAACAGGCATGACACTTAGAGTTGTAATGGTAGAGTATTAGCTCCAGGTATGGTCATTAGAAACTACCCCTTATATTATCACTTTATTCTGTATACTACTACACTGAGAAGCAGTGCATGCCTTGGCCTTGCAACATTGCTCCGTTGTAGGGAAGTTGTGTTCCAGGTTCCCACGCAGCTGCAGGGCAACTGTGTGTGTGTGTGCGTTTTTGGTTTTACTATCCTTGTGGGGACTAGAAGTGGGGACATTTCACTGGTACCCACAAGGAAAAAGGCTATTTTAGGCTTAGGGTTTAGGTTTAGGGTTAGGGTTACAATTAGGGTTAGGGTTAGGGTTAGGGTTAGAATTAGGGTTAGGGGTTAGGTTTACGGTTAGGGTTAGGGTTAAAGGTTAACTGTTAGGGTTAGGGGTTAGGGAAAGTAGGATGTGTGCGTGCGCGCGTGTGTGTGCTTTTTGACAGCGTAGTTAGGAGGTGCTGATGAAAGAGGAGAGGCTGTGTGGGCCCAGTGCCTCTCAAATTAGCGCAGGAGCCCCGCAGCCTGTCACATGGAGGCCCAGGCACTCCGAGATTCTGTGTGTGTGTGTGTGTGTGTGTGTGTGTGTGTGTGTGTGTGTGTGTGTGTGTGTGTGTGTGTGTGTGTGTGTGTGTGTGTGTGTGTGTGTGTGTGTGTGTGTGTGTGCGTGCGTGTGTGTGTCGCTCTCTGAGGACCAGAGAGCACACGTATGAGCACAAATTACGGGAGAACATCCTCTCAGTCCTAGCTCGTCAAAGGCATGCCTGGAGCTCCCAGAGTTTGGAAAAATACACTTGAGTTGACCTCCGCCTAACCATTCCTGGGCCATCCTTTATTTAGACCTCCATGTTGCCCGTCCTCTATAGCCCTTCCAAGGAGAGATAAAAGATACTCCCCATGTTTATGTCATCAAGTAATTAGGCTATTCTGTCCATCTTTCAGTGTTAAGTTACAGAGCAAGATACTAGCAGTGGTAGTATCATGAGGACCCAGACAGGCAGTCAGCCCAGTAAAAAGAGAGCTACGCCTCCCACACTCTCACCTTCATCACTTACATCTGTCATCCTGACACCTCGTCAGCTGATTCAGCTCTGATGTCTGTTTGTTTTGTAAGGCTCAGGAGCATTCATAACTTTAAAACCATCTACAAAGCTTTGAAACATAACATTTCTAATAATCTTTTTCTCCTTCCATTGTCATCTACATTCTCCACCATCTCCTCCCAAGACATGTCTCCCTTCCCCTAAATCCCCTGCCCCCAGCCGCCAACAAATTGAATCCAACAATCATATCTAACTCCAATGATCATGTCCAACCCCCACCCCCTCCATGTAGCCCCATCTCTTACCTGGGAGAAGTTGAGTCCGTTGAGGGGGTGACACTGCTCCTCCACCCGCTCCACCGCTCCTGTCCTCTTCCCCATGCGGTCGGCCTCCTGGGCCAGGAACAGGTCCAGTACGGGGATACCCCGCGACCTCACGTCCGACTCCGTCAGAGAGTTGACCATCAGCATCACCCAGACAGGCCTCTTCCTCTCCCAGTTCCCTGCGATGGCGTTGAAGAGGTAGTCAGCATACAGCCCTCGACCCCGCTGGTCCGCCGTCATCCAGTAGGGCATCATGTGCTTAACGTAGTCCAGGTGGCGTTTGAGGCGGCGGTACAGGTCCCGGGGCAGCAGGGTCTGCAGGTTCTCCCCGTGGGGCAGCAGCTGGCAGCTGGTCAGCTTGGAGATCGTCAGGGGGTCGGTCAGGTCCAGCTCGAAGAATACATTTCCGCTGGTCTGGAAGGCCCGTTTGGAGACGTCTGGGATAAAGTCCCATACACGGGTGTAGGGAACATGGATGGTCCCGAAAAGATAGGATGGAGGGTAGGGAGCTGGGTGCTTCACTGTCCAGAGGAATGAGTTCATGTCACTTTGCTATGGGGGTGGATGGGGGTTGGAGGGGGGGGAGGAGGAGGAGGAGGAGGAGGAGATGAGAGAGAGAGATTATGACAATCAGCATTAGGAATACAGTATCATAACCTTCTGAGTAAAGGCTATCTACAATAGTAAATTGAAAACTACTTTTTGTGATTAAGAGATTAAAAACAGCCTTTTTAGTACATCTGGCTGAGATACAGGTCAATGCAATAGAATCTGTTGAAATGTCATCTCCAGATACAGACAGGGGACCCAATGAAACCCTGTTAGCTAGCTTCCACTGTGCTGTACTATGCTGCTCTCTGTCTGTCTGCTATTCTGAGGCAGTGAGTTTATAGTGAAGCTTTCTCCTTGTAAAGAGACCCCAGTGTATTGTCAAGGTGCATAGCTGTGCTGCCAATGCCTCTGTGAAGCTGGAAAGCTTTTCAAGTGTTGCTACAGCAGTATAAACATAATGAACCATATAAAACTGCTGCAATCCACCTATCTGGGATATGGTTTCCTTGAGGATTTTTTGTTGATGTTGCAAAAGTCATTGGAACAGATAGCCTACACAAACAACAAAATGCACACACATAGGCCTTTGCTGAAAATTTGGTCAGACGTGGCTAATGTATCTGGTTTACTGAACACTATAAAATTCTGATCAAATGGAAAAAGCAATGTGTATGTGTCTATTTCTTGCAGTTCATTAACATTCCAGGGATTTCATAAGGGTCGATTATTCCCTCTTTCCACAAACATTTATAGATCATAGCTCTGCAAAACATAATGCAAATCATTGAGATGCTGTTTTGATGGGAATGAGGAAAAATGTAAACAAGCAACATAACTATGAAATGATCCAAGTGGCTATCAAAGTAGTTCTTAGAGAGATTTATGCATTGCACAACAAACTATTATTTTGTGAAATGCTTGCTTCTGTTCAAATTGATCTATTTTCATTGTCGTTGATAGTATAGTACACTGACATTGGACCAAAGAGAAAGCCACTTCAGTGTTATTAAACCAAATGGAAAGCCTGGTCTATGGGAAAGGAAGCAATTAAATAGAAGCATTTGGTAGGCTTAGTAGTACATATAATGTTATTAACTTCACATGCTCCTGCTGTATTTCAATTCATAAATTAAATTAGCATAATTGTCTGGCACAATCTTTGTATTGAGCATAGTTTTTTACTGAAATGTTTGCACATCATCTCACACACAAATTATTTTCACATTGGACATTCACATAGCCTAAGTACATCAAATAAATGCACGGATGATGCCCCCTCTCTAACCATCATAGTTTGATTATATTTTGACAACTTAATCATTAACTTGTCAAAGTATGTTCGTCAAATTCACGGAGACTTCTGTCCGATCGAATAAGGATAGTTGAACTCGTTGACTAGGCGGAGCAGAGTCCTGAGGAAAGGCTCTCTCCTCGCGTTGCGCGGTGTTTTCTATGAGCGCTCGCGCTGGAGCACTGACGTGAACAGCTCAATTTTATTGGGTAATTAATTACTTTTGACACAAAACAGGGAGCTCTGTACTGACGTATTAGAAATCACACGAAGGGGGAACACTTCTGCAGTTAATCTCTGACAACAATGCCATTATCACAGATAATGAAACAGATTAACAATACCAAAAATACAATCATTTTGTGGACTATGTTGTTGCAACGCTATCAAGTCATCCCTGATAAATATTTTCAATAATGTATTCTAACATTTGTATTTTATTAATAGATAACATCATGCCCGGTTAAAATGATCTGTAATTAACGTTAGTGCTGGGGTCATGCAATTTCAGCTCAGATGTATTGCGTTTCTATCTGGGAATTTGTAGCATGTCCAAGCCAGCGATGTGCGCGTGCGGCACGCACTGTGTCCAGTCATGATTCTAATTAAGTTCCTTCTGATCGTGTTTATTTGAAACTAGATCAGTTTTGAAAGGTCAGTGAAACTTTTACAAATAAATGTATGTGAAGTTAAATCACCCGTGGGTGTTCCCCACTTTCTTTTGTCACATGGCGGACGAGAACGATGTTTCGCTTAGCAACTGCTTCCATTTTTTCAAGCCCAGATTTCTGTGAGGAAACTCAGGAATATGTCAAGTAACATAAATTATTTTCAGAGGTGCCATTGGAAGCAACTTTGCTGATTGGAAAATGTTTCAATTCTAGGAAGCCTTGAAATAATGGATTATCCTAATAAAGTATGATGACATAATAATAACCTAATAATAATCATATTAATAACCTACTACTTCTACTACTACTACTACTAATAATAATAATAACCTACTACTACATCTACTACTAATAATAATAATACATGTGCTATAATAGACTATAATAGGGTAGCCTAATAAAGTTGCTATAAACAAAATTATTGTTCTTGTTACACGTGTAGGTAGTTATTATAGCATGTCAATATTTCAATGACAATAAAACTCAAAGTTGCTATTGTTATTGTTAATTTGGTTGTTACACAAAACCCAATAACAACACAATATCTCACTTTTTTGCTATAGGCCTACCGTTGCACATAGAAAAAACTCATTCAGGAACACTGTCTAAGCAAAGTGCATTTATTTTACTCAGAAACAGGACAGCCTTTTATTTTTATTTTGTTTTATTATTTGCGGTAGCCTATTGGGCCAGTTATAGGCTAGGCTAGACACATAGGCCGACATTTGCAATTAACTTAAAATATTTCGCTAGACGGCTATCCATTGAAGGATATCTTCATGTTTGACATTGCCTTAAGACATTCCTGAAACAGGTAAAGACCATGTAGCTGTAATGACCGAGCACAACTCACCGACTTCGGTGGGTCACATTGCCTTGGTCTCTCGCGGATGTCCAGGGGTGCGACAGTGTGCAATAGAGTGGTAAGTAGGAACCATCGAAGTCCTGGCGAGCAGACCATCTCGAGATGAGAGGAGAGTGGTGTCGACAGGCTGTCTTGGATACTTCAAGCCTCCCCTTGTTTTTTTCTCGCTCTTTACTGTCCTTTGCCTCCTAATACGTAATAAAATCGAGCCGGAGGAGACGGGGTTCGGCTCACATGTGCCGTTCGGAAGGAGGGCATGGACCATTCCGACTCTCCGCCATTCCCGAACCCCAGGCAGCTCGTAACCGGCTATGCGTTCTGCTTTCACTGTCTCTTCTCACTCGGCGCTGTCCTGTCGCAGGCAGTAACCTATTCAGCAGTTGCAGGGGAAAGTTTTCCCAGTGTGCTCTAGAAGTTGTGTGTGCCTGGCTGGTTGAGTGGAGGTGGAACGCTTTTAATATTTTCCCCCACTGCTTATTTTAAGAGGAGGGGAGCGCAGGTTCTGAGGGGATAGGGAGAGCACAGGTTTGCGTGTGAGTGAGAGATGATATGGGAGATCGAGTTGTATAAAAATCTGTAATTCTAGTGCGTAAAACCCTGCACGAATAAAAACAAATGCAATGCCCAACCACTGGAGGGCAGGTGGCAGGCACAATGTTGCCAGTCTGGTGCCGTTCATGCGAGGAATAATTCAAAAGTCTAAATTAGTTATATTAACACGTTGTCATCTGTTTCCTTTTCATTAGGTTCACATTTATCACTGTCATTGATTGTTTGACACTTTTTGTGCAAAACTTTAATATGGGTCCTTAGACCCAGTGTCCCAATCATGAGTGATTAATGCCTACAAATAAACATCTCAGTAAAGACAACTGTGAAGAGTGTTTTATTTATTTATCCTATAATAGCACTCTTAAGATATAGTAATCGTGTATAATTCTGAATGGTTCGGATGAATGGCCATGTTGAGAGCCCTAGTTGTCCCTCTCTTCAGGACAAGCCATTCTTTGTCCTCTGTCTTGTTTTAACTCTCTCCTGTCTCCTCTCCATCCTCTGTTCGTCTCTGGACAACTGGTCTGTGTTTGACTTTGACTGTCCTCACAGTTCTACAACTGGAGCCTACACATGTAACAACTTCTCTGTTTGTTCTGTGGTTGTTGGTTAAATGTCTTTCATCTCCTTCTATGTTTACATTGTGGACTCGTGATTGTTTCATCTAAGAACTGGTCCTACATCAGTATACTATGGGTTTGATTTATGGTTCTGTTTACCCCACAGTATTGGTATGAAAACATTTTCAAAGTACCTAATTTCATGAATCAGTGCATATATACATATATATACAGTGGGCTCCAAAAGTATTGGGACAGTGACACATGTGTTGTTGTTTTGGCTCTGTACTCCAGCACTTTGGATTTCAAATGATACAAAGTGCAGACCATCAGCTTTAATGTGAGGGTATGTTCATCTATATCAGGTGAACGATTTAGAAATTGCAGCGCCTTTGTACATAGTCCCTCCATTTTAGGGGACCAAAAGTATTGGGACAAATTCACTTATATGTGTATTAAAGTAGTCAAAAGTGTAGTGTTTGGTCCCATATTCCTAGCACGCAATGATTACACAGTGGTGTAAAGTACTTATGTAAAAATAATTTAAAGTACTATATAGGAGTTTTTTGGGGTATCTGTACTTTACTATTTATATTTTTGACAACTTATACTTTTACTTCACTACATTTCTAATGAAAATTATGTACTTTTTACTCCATCCATTTTCCCTGACACCCAAAAGTGCTCCTTACATTTTGAATGCTTAGCAGGACAAGAAAATGGTCCAATTCATGCACTTATCAAGAGAACATCCCTGGTCAACCCTACTGCCTCTGATCTGGCGGACTCACGAAACACACATGCTTCATTTGTAATTGATGTCTAAGTGTTAGAGTGTGCCCTTGGCTATCCGTAAATACAAAAATGGAGAAAAAAAATGGTGCCTTCTGGTTTGCTTAATATAAGGAATTTTTAATTATTTATACTTTTACTTTGACTTTTGATACTTAAGTATATTTGATGAATTACATTTACTTTTGATACTTAAGTATATTTAAAACCAAATACTTTTACACTTTTACTCAAGTAGTATTTTACTGGGTGACTTTCACTTTTACTTGAGTCATTTTCTATTGAGGTATCTGTACTTTTACTCAAGTATGACAATTGGGTACTTTTTCCACCACTGTGATTAGATCAAGTTTGTGACTCTTTTTTTTATTTTTTATTTAAAAGTTTGTGATTACAAACTTGATGGATGCATTTGCTGTTTGTTTTGGTTGTGTTTCAGATTTTTGTGCCCAATATAAATGAATGGTAAATAATGTATTGTCTCATTTTGGAGTCACTTTTATTGTAAATAAGAATAGAATATGTTTCTAAACACTTCTCAATTCATGTGGATTCTACCATGATTACGGATAGTCCTGAATGAATCGTGAATAATAATGAGTGAGAAAGTTACAGACGCACAAATATCATACCCCCAAGACATGCTAACCTCTCACCATTACAATAACAGGGAAGGTTAGTATTTCTGGGGGGGGTGGGGGGGAAATGATATTTATGCATCTGTAACTTTCTCACTCATCATTATTCAAGAATTATTCCGGATTTTCCGTAATCATGGTAGCATCCACATTAATGTAGAAGTGTTTAGATACATATTCTATTCTTATTTATAATAAAAGTTACTCCAAAATGACACAATACATTATTAACCATTCATTTCTATTGGGCACAAAACAGCAAATGCATCCAACAAATGTGTAAAGTCACAAGCTTGATGTAGTCATTGCGTGCTATGAATATGGGACCAAATACTTAACTTTTTACTACTTTAGTACACATACAGTATAAGTGAATTTGTGCCAATATTATTATTGGGGGGACTATGTACAAAAAGTGCTGTAATTTCTAAATGTTTCTGGAGTGCAGAGCCAAAACAACAACAAATGTGTCACTGTCCCAACACTTTTGGAGCTCACTGTAAGAATGCTTCCCTCCTACTTGGCCTACTCATATCTAATCTGATCTTAATCTATGTATTTGCCCTTGCAACTCAGTTTTTCCCCCTTGCAGTTAGTTCTTGTGCAAGACAGGTGTGTGTGATTTCAGTTGCATCCTCATCTGTTGTAATGCAGACACAGTTACCTGCTTTAACCACACATTGTGAAAGGCTTCTCTTTGAAGGAGGCTGGTTGACATCCTTGGCTGGTTAGAGAAGGCTTATGAGCGGCTGCATGTAGGAGATTCCTGGACAGGGGCCAGGTGGATTTACAGCATATATGGACCAGAGACAGGCAGCATAAGAAAATACTTAAAAGTGAATGTTCTGTTTGCAAACCACAGAAAACACTCACTGCTGAAAATAGATGTCTGGGGACATATTAGCAAGACACAGGCACAGAGAGAGGGAGGGAGAGAGGGAGAGAGGGAGGGAGAGAGGGAGAGAGGTAGGGAGTGAGGGTGAAGGCGAGAGCACGAGCGGGGCAGCGGGCAGAGAGAGAGAAAGTAAGTGAGACAGAACTCTTATTCTCTGCATGTGGACATTGTTTCCATTCCATTCATAAGTTATCTTTGTAATTGGGAAACTTGTACAATAAATCCATGATTGGACCTGTCATTGTTGATATGCACTTTCTGACATTGATCACTTACTGCAGCATAATATGTTTCTATAACAAAAAGTATGTGCATGAGTATGATGGACAAAGAGAAAGAGAGCACTAACAAAGGTCCTGGTAATGTATCCTGGTATTGCCTGCTGGCCCACAGGTCTATGGGTCCTTGTGGCTTCATGACAGCCGGCCTGATGTTCTGCAGAAGGCCATGGCCACAAAGCTGAGGTATTAGCTCTCAGTCTCTCTCTCTGCCCACGTCTCTCTTTTGTATTGGTGAGTCATGAGAGAGTTACAGCCCCACCACATAAAATAGGACACTTTCATGTCCATTGTAACTGTTTTACAGTGTATGTTAGTGTTCATCATGTGAAGAGGGACCCCTAGTGGTAGGATATAGAAGTGGGTTGATACCATTCACACAACATTTGTACATTTTAGTAGTATAGCAGACACTCTTATCCAGAGCAACTTACAGTAGTGAGTTCATACATTTTCATAAATGTTTTGTACTGGTCCCCCGTAGAAACTGAACCCACAACCCTGGCATTGCAAGCGCCATGCTCTACCAACTGAGCCACACGGGACCTAGCCTGCAGTCAAAGGACAAGGGTTGAGAGAGACATAGCCAGTCAATAGTCAGAGACATAGATTTGGACATGTAGTGAATAATAGATAAAGAAAGAAAGAACATCACAGAGAATGTGAATAAGGATGATCATGGATGAAGATGATGAATCTAGAGAATGGCCCAACACTACTTTAGGCTTCTTTACTTCAGAGGAGACGCTGAAAATGTGATTATCTGTGGAGACCTGGCGTCAGCCTGACGTGCCCCTTTCACCCACACACTGCCTTCAGCTACACTACACACTGTCACCCCCCTCTTCTCTCTATGTTCAGCCTGCTGCAATATCTTCCTGCTTTGTGGACTTCGAATAATATTGATAAAAAAAGTTATTGTGGTTTTGCTTTCTGGATGTCCTGGGGTAGCGGGGGGTAAAGGGCTTTGTTGTGGGGAAGATAGGTGTCAGTTGATCCAGAGGAACTCTCCGTCATATATAATGGTCTCTAGGCAGCGATACAGTACTGTGTAGAATCTACCGCTAGATCTGTGTTCAACTTCTGTGTTCTTCCTGTCCATATGACTGGTTCTGTGTTTATGGAGCACACAGAGACTGAAACAGTGTTTTGGACAACATAGTCGAGAGGAGGAGGTTAACCACTGTACATCAGGATGCTCAGGGGTTGTGTGTGTGTGTGTGTGTTTTCCATTGTTTCTGCTGTAGGGTCACCCCTGGCATGTAAACACATGCAGTGGATGGCCGTAGCTATCTCTCAGAGATCAGAAGGAGTGAGAGGAGGGAAGAGATTGGAGATAGAGATAGATGGATAGGGGTGACAGTCTGAGGGTTGTTTTGCT